ACATTAAGAACAACATTAGGTATAAGAGACAACACTGATTTGTCATGTTTACGTATAATTGAGAATCTGAGACGTGTTGTGCTGATACAGTGATGAAATACATGTCTCGTTCGTATGATTAAATTTGATTATATAACTTTTTCTGAGGTCAGCACAGATATTTGATCCTCGGCAATAGAACATTCTCGTTTTGGGAGAATGCCAATTTGTTCTTTTGAAAGGAATTAATGCATTTTCACTACTTTGCTCTTTGATATGATTGTGGTGGCGTTTGTGGTTGGTTAGAGATTGTTTTGTGTTATAGAAGTTGTAATGAATATGGAAATAAAGCAATGTTTAGAAATGAAAGGTATTGAATCTGGGATGAAGAAAACTCAACAGTAGATTTTTGATGATATCTGTGATTACCTTGGTTGATAGTTCCCGAGTTAAACAGTCAAAACATTGGTGTTTGACTAGTTCATTGGATCTAAAGGCACTTCAGGGTCATCGGAGACTGAGATAGTTGTGTGAAGAATTAAAGATATGGGAACATTTCCCACTATTATGGTTATGCTTCTTTTTGTTNGAACTGAACTTGTATTGAGAAGCCACCTTATAATGAGACCACTTATTGGACTTCCACTTTGACTGTATCATTTTAACGGCGTATCGTATATGTATTTCTGAAACAGGATGGCAGTCTATCACGAAGTACATGTATTTGACTGTAAATTGTTGTATCAACGAAACAAACTGATCCCAAAAAATAATACTAAACCACATTATATTGAAACACAAACATCTGTAGATAAATATTACTTACGATTTCGCCATTCGTGGACCGTTGTAACCAAAGCCGACCATTTCCCTTTGGCGCTTTTTGCAATCGACGGTGCATGCCTCAACAGCAAGCTTAGAAGCAAACAGAGGAGTGTGCAGAAAACCTCATTTCCAATTCGCTAAAAAAGAATAAATGAAAATTATTTCCTGTGCATTCGTTCTTAACTAAAACAGCTGATGACCCAATCTCAAGACTTTATTCAAGTTACGGGTATTTAATACGATTTAATACGAAAATATTGGATGCAGGCTGTGAGCCTCTATATCCATATCAATTAATTCTGTACAATAATGATTTGTTTACTTCTGGTGCACATTGCATTTTTACGTTAAACCAATGATCAATTCGATTAACTAGCAGAGAATGTTATTTTTTCTCGTTTCCAATGATTGTCCAGTAATATTTCAAAATGTTTAACATCAGTTGCATCTATGACATGTTGTGGTAAACCATTTCACTTGTCTACGACACGGGAACTAAAAAAAAAATTCATTACAATATAGATGGCCGAAAAAGTCGGAAGTGGAAAATATGCTTCACTTACCCATGCCAGATCGGCAGGCGTTGGACATACGTTCTCAATGGCTGTTGTAGAGAAATAATGGAACATTTTCTGGGCATATCCTTGCTCGGATCCCACGCTAAAGAAATTAAATTGAAAATTAAAGATTAAAAGGCATTTCTGGAAATTAAATAGAAGTTACAACACTTTTAATGACATCTTTTTATGTTAACTTGACATTGACTTAAATAATTCCCCGTTGTTAATGCGATCTGTTGAGAACACGTTTAAATTTATAGATCTGTACCACGTTAAGTCCAAACTTACCTCATGAGGTCCCGATATGCAGCAGGCCCTTGTTGCACTGCGCTCAGCAATACCAAGTATATCAAAAGTAATCTGATATTCATTGTGGTAATCCAAGAATTTGAATATAAAGTATATATCAGGGAAGAGACTGATCATCTCCGCCAATGTCGCTTGCTAAGCAGCTTAGCAACAAAGATGTCACAAGTGAGCTTCACTATTTTACTCATCATGACGTCATCCAATTGTCTTTCCTAAGTGAAAACGATAACACACTGGCGTCGCTCTGTAGGAATTACTTTATTGAAAACATACCAAAGATTCCACACATGTGATCTCCACCATTAAACAATCCGAGACACTCTCCTAAAGTCTGTCCAAACTACCTACTATAGCACATGTCCGCAAGTAAGGAATCACCCCCTCCCCATAGCAATCAAGGATATGTTTGTTGAAAAATATTCCAACAACAGCTCGAAGTGTTTTAAAGAGTTGTAAAACTGAACAATTTAAAAAATATATATCAAACAACTCGTGACCACTGACTGGAATCATCTTACTGTCACTCTGTGGAGAGCTCCAAAGGATCTCTCACCCTCCACCGCTTCTAGAGTGTATATTTCACTCCTCCCCCGACGCAATACATATCATTAAGAATTCCACGTTAACGTACAGATATACAAAATATCTTCCTGTCTCAGTGCATTCCGGGTTTTACCCTCACCCACAGTATCGTCCATTCGGAACCCGTACCGAAATGTTCCGAGTAGACGCCGGTACGAAAGTTGAATAAAAACCTAAATATTGACGCATTTACTATATATGAAGACCAGATAACTATCACGATAACAGGGTCTAAAGAAATAAGAAACAGGTGATGTATGGTTACCTTGGTGATGCATTCACTATGAAGATCTCACTAAAGGAAAGGCATGTCTTCCGATATTTTCTCAGTTTCTGTTTCCCATAATGATAACCCCTGAGCCTCGCGTGACCCTGTTTCAGTGTTTGTTCATACAACCAAGTCAGCCGGCAAACTTGTACAATGAATGTGTCACTATTGCTATATATTCTGATATCTTCAAGTAAATATGCAACTTCAATAATAACAGCGCGTCTGCCCTCGAAAGTAGCCGTATTCAAGTTATTGTGTGACAGTAGTCATTTTCTGTAGTCTTGCTCAAGTCCTTTACAGTAATGTATATTTATTTGCAAGTTAATGATGTATAGGCATTGAGGTATTCCTTATATTTTTTTCAGGACTTGTTGATAGAAGGACAGTTATATGCTGATGTCTTAACTGTTTACTAAACGTACAGCTACTAATGTGAAAATTAATTACACGTGAAAAGAGGTAGGACCTATATATTAAAATCCAGAGAAGTGGACATGGAGGCCCGTGTTATCCTGGAGACAGGAGTGGTCACTGCTGGATGTATATCACTTGGGACATACCTACAAGATACAGCAGGGGAGGCATTCCAGCTCAATAGCCTTGGTAAACACAAAATGTATTATCATGTAATGATTCATGTTCAGTAGATGAACTGTTAGACTGGGTCAATCCTCGGCAACCTGGTACGGTGTACATGTAGCTCAATTAGTAGAGTTTCCATATAGAGTTCGGAGGGTCCATGGTTCGAACCCCAGTCTGGCTGTAACATTTTCCCTTTTTCCTGTTACTGTCATACTATTTTTACCTTGCTAAAACATACTTGTCTGATCTGAGGAAAAACGATAAAGGAAATAAAATCAAAAAGTGCAGTGAAACTATATTTGATATTCGGGTGGTGTATTGGATAGTGTACTCGATTTCCACCAAGGCCATCAGCTTTGATACCCATATCAGTCATGAAAAGGTACATGTAAATGGTGATCACCTGCCCAAGTACCAGAGTTTTCTTTGGGTTACCTCCAGTTTCCTAACACCATTGAACATCATGAATTACTATCTACATGAACAAGAGAGATCAATATTTCAGTTAATAGAACTTTTTTCATAATTTCACTGTAAAGATATATATATTTAACTTTAAAAAAGTGTCTAAACTGACCACCACTTGGACCAATAAACCCTGGTCTGGCCGTGCTTTTTTCCATCCCCTATTACAGTTGTGCCTGTGACCAACCCTATTGTTTCAAGCATTTGGTGTATGCTTGACAAGGGGATACCCGAACCTGGGTTGTTAATAGTTGTGTCTTTGGGGGCGATATGACTTAGAAAAAGGAGGGAGGAATGTAGCGGAACTGGACTGGGTCGATCATCGGCTACCAGGTAGCTCAATTGGTATAGAGTTTTGAGGGTTCCGGGTTCGAACCCCAGTCTGGCCGTGCATTTTTTCATCTCCTGTTACAATACTGAGAAATGGATACAGTGACAAACCACTTCCTCTTCCTCCTCCTCCACCTCCTCCTCCTCCTCCTCCTCCTCCTCCTCCTCTTCCTCCACAGAGTTGTACACTGAACATATCACCATTGATTTTACACAGGATTCCTGGGCTGTTCTTACATTCTCCTGCTGTTACACCAGCTTGTGCCCCAGTTTAATCCAGGTCTAAGGAGGATAGATGCATCCAGAATATTATACAGGTTTGTTGTTGTCAAAGCTAATTTGATCCAGGAAATATAAATCTTATAGTGTTATATCAGAGTTGAAGGGTCATGCCAAAATGTTTAGAAAAATAGGGCATTGAAAATACAAAGATTCAAGGGTTTGTTTTTCTTGCAGGAGGGAGAGGGGACTTTTTTCTTTTAATACTTTGGACCTCCAATAGCTTTAAAATTATCTTTCTAATGATAAAAAAAAAATATATATGATGTAGACAGATATCAGAATTATAGAATAAATCAAGGAGCAATATGTATAAGTTTTTTTACTGTATCAGTGTTTCCTTATGTTCCAGAACCAGAGCAGATCCAGGAATCTGGTGTTGTGCCTTGTTACCACTGGCATATGTTGGGTATGGTATCCATGGTAACTGTCTTTTGTTATTTTCTCTATTTTTCATTTTGATTGTATTATGTTGTTGTTTTTTTTATATTTCCTTCCTTCAGTGGGAGGTCTACCAGTAGATATGAACTTTATATTTCCTTCCTTCAGTGGGAGATCTGCCAGTAGATATGAACTTTATATTTCTTCTTCAGTGGGAGGTCTACCAGTAGATATGAACTTTATATTTCTTTCCTCCAGTTGGAGGTCTGCCAGTAGATATGAAGTTTATATTTCCTTCCTTCAGTGGGAGGTCTACTACATGTAGTAGATATGAACTTTATATTTCTTTCCTTCAGTGGGAGGTCTATCAGTAGATATGAACTTTATATTTCCTTCCTTCAGTGGGAGGTCTAGCTGCCAGTAGATATGAACTTTATATTTCTTTCCTTCTGTGGGAGGTCTACCAGTAGATATGAAGTTTATATTTCTTTCCTTCAGTGGGGAATCTACCAGTAGATATGAAGTTCATATTTCTTTTCTTCAGTGGGAGGTCTACCAGTAGATATGAAGTTTATATTTCTTTTTCTTCAGTGGGGAATCTGCCAGTTGATATGAAGTTTATATTTCTTTCCTTCAGTGGGAGGTCTATCAGTAGATATGAAGTTTATATTTCTTTCCTTCAGTGGGGAATCTGCCAGAACTGGAGACAAGTTTCTTGTTGTTCACAATACCTTTGACCCTGGTACACTACAATGCCTCGAACCTCACCCAGATAGCTGGAGCTCTTCAACTACTCTGGCTTCGCTCTCATCTAATACAGCATGGTTTGTATATTAAATTTCAAATTCTGAGTAATTTAATAAGACACCTGAGAATCTATCACCCCTGTGTACAGGAGACTAATAGAATCTCTCATCCCCTTGAGGGGGCAGATAGGAGAATTTCAATCCAAGGGGGAAGATTCTTCAGTTACCAAACACGAGGCTGTGCTGAGTGTTTGATAACTTAAGAATCTTTCCCAGAGGGTTGAAATTCCCAATCTCACCTCAAGAGGGTGAATGATTCTTTTTCTCTTACCCTGTTCACCCATTGCGTCTCATAAACATACTGTAATGTTAACGTTAGGGTCTAAATGCAGGGTTGAAGTGCATTGATGCATTGTTGAAGTGACATCATACAATTGTTATGAAGAGGGGAATCACTCCGTCTAAACCCTAGGTTGAGACAAGAATATCTCGCACCCGTAAAAGTGTGGATACACCTGTCCAGGGTAAGAGAAAAAGAAATCGCAACCAACCGGTAGGATTTTTTGAAGTTCAGCTCAAAGCTTTGCACAGTGCTAAACTTCAGAAATGTTATCCCGAATAGACGGTTTGTTGTGTATAACTTTAGAGTCTTTACCTTAAAGGTAACTTTAGCTCAGTGGACCGTAAAGCACTGTGAACCGTTGCTCACACAAGCTGTTCTTCTTTTAGATCATCATTGAAACAAATGGAAAATTTATTTCCGTAGGATCTTATACCCTGTTTAACAGGATATTTCCATGGGGATGATATTTCCACGATTTCCTGGGTACATAATTGCAAAACTATGATCTGCAGAATAACATGACAAGAATACAAAAAATGCATCCTTGAAATTCCAGGGGGTACGTACATTCACTTATGCTCTCTGCACCCCTGAAATTCCGTCTTTTCGTATTGCAGAGTTATCTTCTCTTGTGAGCAGGTATTGATTGTTACATCATTTGTTTGTGAGAGTAACGTCATAAATTTTTGAGAAAAAGACATAATTTTCTCACACAAACCAATGACATAACAATCAATATCTGCTCACAAGAGAAGATAACTCTGCAATACGCAAAGACGGAATATGTCATAGCTAATTTGCCGAGTGTCCCGTCTCTGTGCTAAAACGACGCAAAAATGTAGTTCGTTCACTTGTCTATGTCGTGAAGTTATAATCTGTGTAAATTTCATTTTCTAATTTTGGGTCAAAGTCACGAAAAATTTAAGCCTGAGCAAATAACCCATTACACGGTTCATTTAGTTTCAAATTACTTTTCATTATGTTATCTATTGAATGTTTAAACTGTATATGATCATGAGAAATACTTCAGACTACATTGTGAATTTGAACATTTGTTTGCAAATTCATGTTTTTTCCTAGTCAGTTTATAATAAACATAGATTTCATATCTTGCATACAGATGTGTTCAGCCTGAGTCTGTTTGGAGCGATCTGTGTGCTGTTCTTCATGCTCCTTACGAAGGTTCCAGAACTGTTGCCGAGGTCGTTTACAGAAGGGGAGATAACTCTGGTGCTACAGCTTGTTCTAACTGTTATACTTTCTCTTACACTTGGTGTGTTAAAGGTTAGTAATGAAAATAATCTGGTGACTTGATTTTTACGCCCATAACACAGGCTACTTATATAACTGAGCTCGAAGATGGCCCCCAGAGGAAACAAATAGCATTGACTCATAAAAACAAAGTATTGGTACAGTATATTATGCATAAAAAAAGTAAAATGTATATATTAACTTGAGACAACACATTAGAGCAATAATTCCTTTATTGAGTTTTTTATATTAAATGGAGAAAAAAATCATCATACTAGTATTAGTGAAATTGGTCCAATTTGACATGTTTTGTTTGTAACACAAGAAAAATGAGAACATCTGGTCTGAAATTGATTAATTAACCCTTTCACCCCTATGTAACTTTAGCAGACTCTACCATGCATTGATATGGATGAGTCCATTATGATCTACAGTGGTGAAAGGGTTAAGAACAGCTACATGATATACTTAATTTTTACTTTATATTACAGGGAGAAGTTGATATACAGGATGATCTGCTTTCTGGTCAGAAACTAGCCGTGGCAAGTATAATTATTTTTTCATTTTATATGTGGAAAATTACTTGATGTTTTAATAACACATCCTGAACGTGCTGTCAAATTCAAGACATTTTCTCTATACAACGAGTAAACAAATAATTTTGATATGCATGATCTGAGGTATATTTACCTGTTAAATGTACAGTTGTACTGGTATAATCAAAATGTCCAGATTTCTGTATACAAACATTTTGTCCAGATTGTACATGTATTAATGTTCAATCTGTCCATTTTTTCTGAGGATAATCAGTCCGTCCATGTTATTTGACTTAATCAATCTATCCAGGTTATATGAGTATATCAATCTATCCAGGTTATATGAGTATAATCAATCTATCCAGGTTATATGAGTATAATCAGTCTATCCAGGTTATATGAGTATAATCAATATATCCAGGTTATATGAGTATAATCAATATATCCAGGTTATATGAGTATAATCAATATATCCAGGTTATATAAGTATAATCAATCTATCCAGGGTATATGTGTATAATCAATCTATCCAGGGTATATGAGTATAATTAATCTATCCCGGTTATATGAGGATAATCAATCTATCCAGGTTATATGAGTATAATTAATCTATCCAGGGTATATGAGTATAATTAATCTATCCCGGTTATATGAGGATAATCAATCTATCCAGGTTATATAAGTATAATTAATCTATCCAGGGTATATGTGTGAGTATAATCAATATATCCAGGGTATATGAGTATAATCAGTCTACCCAGGTTATATAAGTATAATCAGTCTATCCAGGTTATATAAGTATAATCAATCTATCCAGGTTATATAAGTATAATTAATCTATCCAGGGTATATGTGTGAGTATAATCAATATATCCAGGGTATATGAGTATAATCAGTCTACCCAGGTTATATAAGTATAATCAGTCTATCCAGGTTATGTGAGTATAATCAGTCTATCCAGGTTATGTGATTATAATCAATCTATCCAGGTTATATGAGTATAATTAATCTATCCAGGGTATATGAGTATAATTAATCTATCCCGGTTATATGAGGATAATCAATCTATCCAGGTTATATGAGTATAATCAGTCTTTACAGGTTATATGAGTATAATCAGTCTATACAGGTTATATGAGGATAATCAATCTATCCAGGTTATATGAGTATAATAAGTCTATCCAGGTTATATAAGTATAATCAGTCTATCCAGGTTATATGAGTATAATCAATCTATCCAGGCTATATGAGTATAATCAATCTATCCAGGTTGTATGAGTATAATCAATCTATCCAGGTTATATGAGTATAATTAATCTATCCAGGGTATATGAGTATAATTAATCTATCCCGGTTATATGAGGATAATCAATCTATCCAGGTTATATAAGTATAATTAATCTATCCAGGGTATATGTGTGAGTATAATCAATATATCCAGGGTATATGAGTATAATCAGTCTACCCAGGTTATATAAGTATAATCAGTCTATCCAGGTTATGTGAGTATAATCAGTCTATCCAGGTTATGTGAGTATAATCAGTCTATCCAGGTTATGTGATTATAATCAATCTATCCAGGTTATATGAGTATAATTAATCTATCCAGGGTATATGAGTATAATTAATCTATCCCGGTTATATGAGGATAATCAATCTATCCAGGTTATATGAGGATAATCAATCTATCCAGGTTATATGAGTATAATCAGTCTATCCAGGTTATGTGAGTATAATCAGTCTATCCAGGTTATGTGAGTATAATCAGTCTATCCAGGTTATGTGATTATAATCAATCTATCCAGGTTATATGAGTATAATTAATCTATCCAGGGTATATGAGTATAATTAATCTATCCAGGTTATATGAGGATAATCAATCTATCCAGGTTATATAAGTATAATCAATATATCCAGGTTATATAAGTATAATCAATCTATCCAGGTTATATGAGTATAATTAATCTATCCAGGGTATATGAGTATAATTAATCTATCCAGGTTATATGAGGATAATCAATCTATCCAGGTTATATAAGTATAATTAATCTATCCAGGGTATATGTGTATAATCAATCTATCCAGGGTATATGAGTATAATTAATCTATCCTCATATAACCTGGATAGATTGATTATCCTCATATAACCTGGATAGATTGATTATGCTTATATACCCTGGATAGATTGATTATACTGATATAACCTGGATAGATTGATTATCCTCATATAACCTGGTTAGATTAATTATACTCATATAACCTGGATATATTGATTATACTCATATAACCTGTATAGACTGATTATACTTATATAGCCTGGATAGATTGATTATCCTCATATAACCTGGATAGATTAATTATACTTATATAACCTGGATAGATTGATTACCTCTGGTCAAATGCCTGGCAATCCAAAACTTGACCGTGTCAAGCAACACACCTTCAAAGGCAACCTGGATAGATTGATTATCCTCATATAACCTGGTTAGATTAATTATACTCATATAACCTGGGTATATGAGTATAATTAATCTATCCAGGGTATATGTATATAATCAATCTATCCAGGGGATATGTATATAATCAATCTATCCAGGGGATATAAGTATAATCAATCTATACAGGTTATATAAGTATAATTAATCTATCCAGGGTATAGGAGTATAATTAATCTATCCAGGTTATATGAGTATAATCAATCTATACAGGTCGCCTTTGAAGGTGTGTTGCTTGGCACGGTCAAGTTTTGGATTGCCAGGCATTTGACCAGAGGTAGAGGCACACCCCTTTTTTACCTGACTTTTTTTACCACTACCTTGACCGTCGTCCTGCCTCTCCTGTACCAGTCATTTGGGTCAAGCTTCCTGATTGACATCTTTGAATTCATCTTACAAACTCCAACAAGGGTAGGTATTAAGAAGTTTGTTTTTATTTTCAATTCTAACACAACTTAAGTCTCTATAAAGCTAGACTTAACCCCTTCTAGTTCTTTGTAAAGAAAGTGTTGGGAGTAAGGCAAATTGTCAAGATATTTTAAATTTTTGTCATGCAGTTTCTCCCTCAGAAAATATTTAGAGCTGGCAATTAAAAACAAATCTTATATGCCTGTAAAATCTATTTTAACAGCGACCCTGACATATAGATTAGATGAACACCGGCAAAACCAAGTGCAAAAATACAGTTTTAAAGAAAAAATGGAAATCTAAACGACACAACTTTTTAAATATGTTTATTTTTCAGAACTGACTGTCAAAGGATTGTGAAATCCTAATTTTGTCAGAATGAAATCTTTGTATCTATAAATGTATAACAATTAGAAGAACTCTTGTATTTTGTAGACAAAACTCCTGGTTTCCTGGACAGTCCTCATTGGGTTGAGTGTAGTTATCGTGTATGTGAGGAATGCTTCGGCTGCTGGTGGTCGAGTATCCTCAGACCAGCGAAAGGTCTTCCATCTAGTCATGTTGGCAGTGTATGTACCTGGGCTTCTGATGGACCCGTCGTTCTTGTGGACTTCGTCGGTCATAGGTCTAGGAGTCATGGTCATTTTAGAGGTCAGTGCCGTAGGTCAATTTGTATAAATACATATATGTAAAATTGTTACATTTAATTATTAAAGAAACAGATTAGATATGGATACAGGGAATATGGTTCGTTTCTATGTCTTTTTAGATTACATATTATAGATCTGTTTTGAACTATTGGCAGCTTATAGTCAAAGATCAAATTAATGACAAAAGGCCATGTTGCTATTTAATTCCTTAATTTAAATGAATTTTGACAAGTGAACCCCTACTTTAAACTGGAAACCTTTGCCCAAACTCCCAACCTTCACTGGTAAGATCAATATGCTCTACATTATAATAATATCATTCTTCATATGTAATATCCAAGTGTACAACACAACTTTAATATGTATGCTAGTTGATCCATCAGCTGTCCAATGTTGGTTGCTTTGCTTACTATAATTTAAATTTAAATCTTGGAATGTTGACTGGCCTTTCTATTTATTTATTTTTGTTACAAATCCCTACAGTGGTAAAGACTCAACAGTATGCCAGTGTATTTGTATCGAGAATTTTTACGTGATGTCATGATTTCACAAAACTTCATGTACTGTCTCAAAACAAAATATGATATTTGCAAGATGTCTTGATTTACAAATTCCTGTGTATACTATTCATAAAAAGTTACAAAAGTAAATGTCAAAATGCAAAATTTAACAACAACACAGCGAATGACTACTGCTAACTAAAACAAAGTGTGTAAGGTTTTGATACAAAAATGTCCCTTATTACAGTAGTTATACAGAACATGCTTTATCCTTAACCCTTTCACCACCGTAGACCATAATGGACTCATCCCCATATAGATGCACGGAAGAGTCCATCAAAGAAGTTACTTATAGTCTTAGGGTTGAAAGGGTTAATTAACATACTAGTATTCAGGTATGCAATGAACATCAATCAATGTCCAAAAATACAAAATCCATTTCAGGTGATGAGGATGAATAGTATATGGCCTCTTGGAGCCATTTTGAAAAAGAATTACAAGGTTTTTGTGGACAGTCAAGATCAAGGGGAGATAATCCTGACTCCACTATATCTACTCCTTGGCTTCTCTTTACCTGTCTGGATAATCCCTATGGACAAATTAGACAGTAAGTATCATCTGTTAGGAAATAGACTTTATCCTGATTAGTGTCACGCCCAGCCTTAGTATAAGCAAAAATACTGTAAATATTCGTGATAGTGCACACTTTGTAAAGGGGAAAATGAAAGTGTTAAGAAAGGAGTGCGCACACAAAAGAACAATCTAAGACCAGTCCTTGGACGCGACCATTAATGGTAAATTGTTCTGGGTTTTTCGGAAATGTTTGACAAAAAACAAACAGACTGCATCTCTTTCATGTTTTTGCTTCCCTGTAAAGCATATGATTGACTGAAGGTTGCTGCCACAACGGTCTCTCATACAGTACCCAGGCCAGCTCAAATGAACGTCTTGTCCTATCTTCTGACAGCATGTATACAGATCTAACTTTATGACTTTTTAAACAAACTCTGCCCTCAGGAGTATATTGTTGCATTTCTCTCAAACATTTATAACTGTATAGATAGAAATAGTTTGTCATGAAGGGAAGCTGTTATGAGGTGGGCCTTAAGGTAAAGGTTACCAGCAAGTTAAAATATTTTAATTGGCCGAAAGGCTGTGGGTACAATAGCCCTGGTAGCAATAAACCAATTTTGTGTTTTTCAACAAGACTCTTTTTCCTGATTGTTTGGATATTTGCTAAATGTTAAATTTGTAACAGAGGTCAGATTGAGCTAAAGAGCAATTCTTCATAGACAAGATGGAAGGAAGCTGCTAGTATTTTCCCAGGATGACAAATTTCCCCACAGGGAAGAACTTGTCCAAAGCTTTTTTAGAAGAAACTGCCATGTTTGTGACAACAAGGCGGAGTACTTTTGGCAATATTCTCTATGTTCTACCTGGACCCCGATATAAGACTTCATTATACATTTCTTGCCCTTTGTTGTAGGGAAACACAATCCTTTGTTTCCCTGAGATAACTCTTGTTTCACGATGGCTACTGATGATTAAATTTCAGATTTCCCTTAGAAAATGTTTCAAATCAGCCTGCTTACTTTACATTTAGGATTCTTACAAAAACAATTATGCAAGTTTTGAAGAAGGCATATTTAAGTCAAGGTATTTGCTAATGATTTTCTATATAAAACAAGAATTTTAGATTAATTGTGTGATGTAAGTTCAATTCAAATGTACATTGTTATTTTCTGTTATTGTAGGTACAGATTTACGGTTGTATGCCGGAGTTCTCTCCCTTGGAGTGGGGGATACGATGGCGTCAGTGGGAGGGGCATTTATGGGAAGACATAGATGGCCAGGTATGTTGGGTAGGTTTTTTTTGTATTTTACGTCCTATTAACAGCTAGCTATGGTCCATTAAGGACAAGCCAGTTTTTGGTGGTGGAGGAAAACTAGTGACCTGAGAAAAAACCACTACCGGTGACTGCTCCCAGTAGGACTTGTACCCGGGCCCACTGGTGGAGGGCTATTGATCGTAGATGGTCAGACGCCTTTACCACTCAGCCACCATGGCCCTTTGTGTGTTATATCAATAATTTTCAAACGTGGTGATAAAAAAGAAAACTTTAATTTGAGACCAATTTGATTCAGTCTGAAAAGCACAGAATAGTGTAGAGTTGTGATTTAGTGAAAATATCTGATAATGAATTTTATGAACATGTAAACAATGTAAGAACTACAGGCCCTATTGGTTTACTGTTTCAATGTGAAATGTCAAAGGAAGATAAGCCGACCCCTAGGAACTTATTTGTCGTACATTGTATTACTTTTTCAGGGGGATATTTTTTTAATGATTGCTCAAATGTATAGGTGAGCGACTGGAATATGTCATAGCAAAACTGAAGGCGCAAAGTGCAGCACCTTGTGGATGAGACAAGAAGACAATTTTGATCTTTTGATGTACATCAAAAGAATCTTGCGGTCGCATAACGGTAACAAATGACAGGCTTTGAAGTCGGGCGTCGCTCCTTTGTAATGTTCAAAGGACAAGTATCAGCCTAGTGATTGGTCAGGTTTTTTACTTGACACCAATCAAATAGCTAGCCACGTGCCTTCAATTTTGGTATGACATATATATATATATTCCAGGGGTGTAGAGAGCGAAAGTGAACATAACCCCTGGATATGGAGGATGAGGCCCACTGTGCCTCTTCTTATGATGACCTCCCTTGATTTCCATTTATCCTGATTACATTACCGTGTTTACTTTTAAAGTTTACTTGAGAATATTTGATTGCTTATTGTCTTGCAGGGAGTAAGAAAACCATACAAGGGACCGCTATATCTATAATGTCACAGCTAGCAGCTCTGTATGGTCTACATAAACTAGGTAAGTGCTGTATAATGTCACAGCTAGCTGCTCTGTATGGTCTTCATAAACTAGGTAAGTGCTGTATAATGACACAGCTAGCAGCTCTGTATGGTATACATAAACTAAGTAAGTGCTGTATAATGTCACAGCTATCAGCTCTGTATGGTCTACATAAACTAGGTAAGAGCTGTATAATGTCACAGCTAGCTGCTCTGTGTGGTCTACATAAATTAGGTAAGTGCTCTATAATGTCACAGCTAGCAGCTCTGTTTGGTCTACATAAATTAGGTAAGTGCTATATAATGTCACAGCTAGCTGCTCTGTATGGTCTACATACATTAGGTAAGTGCTGTATAATGTCAAAGCTAGCAGCTCTGTATGGTCTACATGCTGTATAATGTCACAGCTAGCTGCTATGTATGGTCTACATAAATTAGGTAAGTGCTGTTTAATGTCACAGCTAGCTGCTCTGTAAGGTCTACATAAACTAGGTAAGTGATGTAACATGTCACAGCTAGCAGCTCTGTATGGTCTCCATAAATTAGGTAAGTGCTGTATACTGTCACAGCTAGCTGCTCTGTATGGTCTTCATAAACTAGGTAAGTGCTGTATAATGACACAGCTAGCAGCTCTGTATGGTCTACATGCTGTATAATGTCACAGCTAGCGGCTCTGTATGGTCTACATAAACTAGGTAAGTGATGTAACATGTCACAGCTAGCAGCTCTGTATGGTCTAAATAAACTAGGTAAGTGCTGTATAATGTCAAAGCTAGCAGCTCTGTATGGTCTACATGCTGTATAATGTCACAGCTAGCGGCTCTGTATGGTCTACATAAACTAGGTAAGTGATGTAACATGTCACAGCTAGCAGCTCTGTATGGTCTCCATAAATTAGGTAAGTGCTGTATACTGTCACAGCTAGCTGCTCTGTATGGTCTACATAAACTTGGTAAGTGCTGTATAATGTCACACCTAGCTGCTCTGTATGGTCTACATACATTAGGTAGGTGCTGTATAATGTCGCAGGTAGCTGCTCTGTATGGTCTACATACATTAGGTAAGTGCTGTATAATGTCAAAGCTAGCAGCTCTGTATGGTCTACATATATTAGGTAAGTGCTGTATAATGTCACAGCTAGCAGCTCTGTATGGTCTTCATACATTAGGTAAGTGATGTATAATGTCAGGACTATTTATAAAGAAATGCAACAAGAGTTAACCAGAATGGAATCAGAACTTACAAAGTACCAGTAGTATCCGAACTGGAACTTTGTAAATCCAGATTCCAATCTAGGTAACTATTTTTCTGTTCACTAATTATATCCAGGAACTTACGATGTATTTTATAAATGCTAAACTCTATTTTCTTTTTCAATTGCAAAGTGATTTGAAGGTGTGGGTTCCATTTCCCAGAGTGTCAAGGAAAAGGGGGAGAGTTAAATACTGTCAGACCTCTAAACATGGTCTTACCATTGCCTTAGTAAATTATCAATGTCAAGCTAATTAATTTTTGTATAGATGTACATGTATTATTGATGATCAGATTAGATAAAGAGCAGTTGGAGGTATGGTAGTCTAGTGGTAGGTGACTGAAAGGGTGCGATCTCGAGTCACGTCATGACACTGTGTTGTATCCTTGAACAAGATACTTTACTTTGCTTGTTCCAGTCTACTCAGCTGTAAATGAGTACGTGGTTGGGCAGTGCTAGAATTGTAGAATGCTAGCTGTGAGCGCCGAAATGGCAGCACTGGCTGTGAGCGCCGAAATGGCAGCACTGCTGTATGCTCCCCAGGGAGTTGAGAAAGATGTTGGCTGGTTGCAAAGGCCCTATAGCCACGGTTAATAATTTTTGAACCGCTTAAATTTGAGACGACCTAGGATCTAGGTTGTGATAAAGCAGTATATAAAAACCTCGAATTATATTGATTATTATTAATATATCTTTGGAAAGTTTCCAGAAAAAGAAAATATTGAGTTAAAGAAAGTCATTAGATGATGTAAATGTTTACGACATATTTCTTCTCAATTTCCAGGCGTGGCAGTAATGTTTTGGCAGAGTATCCAGGCAGTGATATTGACGGCTCTCCTGGAGGCCCTAACTAGTCAAATAGACAATCTTGTGCTTCCTCTTTATATGTTCTGCCTTCTCTCCATCCTACCAACGTAACACAGTCATCTTTTCTCTCTATCCACATAGTAAAGACTGGTGTCTTATCGGGGAGATGTGTGTATGTCCGTGATGATACGCAGCATTTTATTATACCCCCGAAACGAAGAACTTCTCCTTAANGTATACTGGAATCACCCTGTCTGTCGTCCACAGTAACTTGTCCGGAGAACTTCTCCTTAGATAAGCAATGGATTTAAACTTTACATGAATGATCGGTATCTTAAGTAGTTGTGCACTGGCATTTTAATGTGTGATTTCGACCCTTTTTGATGGAGCTATGCCTTTTTGTGCGAAAAACTTGTCCGCGCAACTCCACCTTAACCATCAGGTGGATTTCATTGAAAGTTTGCATGCATGATCTGTATCTTATGTTGTTGTGCACTGGCATGTTAATTTGGGATTTCGACCCTTTTTAATGGAGTTATGCCCCTTTGTGCGAAATACTTGTTATTTTTTTTTTTTTGTTTTTAATAAAATAGTGATTAACTCATTACTGGTGGGAGACTATATTGCTTTGCATTAGTTAGCCTTTAGCGTACAGTTCTGGTTTATATAGGAGCGGGGGTATTATTTAGCCTTTGGCTTACAGTTCTAGTTTATACTACAGGGTATCAAATAAACCAAGCATTCCGATATCTACGCCAATAACTGTGGGACCAAACATCTAGAACTATTCTTCAGAGTAAGACATTAATTATTCTTGTTTGTTCATAAGGCCTTCCTTAGTGTTATTAGATCTAGCTGCTACAGTTATTTTCTGCAGCAATCAGGATGGTCGGGTGCCGCAGTGTATAACACACTTGCCTGTCACCAATACTTTTTAAACACCCCTTATCCTCAGGGATATGTTGCATTTCTCTCATACACATATTTCGTCATGTAAGAAAACATTAATGTGGTGGGGCTTAACCCTTTCACCACTGTAAACCATAATAGACTCATCCAACTGAATGCATAGAAGAGTTTACTGAAGTTGCATAGTGGTGAAAGGGTAAAGGGTAAGAGTACCAACAAGTTAAAATGTGTTCTCCACTGCAAAATATTTCTCCATTTCAAAACCAACATTCCATAAAAAAAATCAAATATTGCTATGCATTTCATATAGTTGTAGTTTGAAATTCGATTGTTTGAATATAATGGGGTCAAATTTGGGACCTTTACATTATAAAATATGCACTTTACCAGTGTTGTTATGCATGAAACATAAAAGCACAGCATTAAATGAGTGTCCAATTTTTAGGCTGCAAAATATATGGAAAAAAAACTTGACAGGGGAAGTTACTCTATAACAGTAAAACTCTTCTCTTTTTTTGGCTGCTTCATCTTATATATAGAAGGGAAAATACTCCCAGTGAAAAACCAGTCTTGAGTGCAACTCTTTTTTGCAATTACAACTGATGTACTGGTACCTTTTGCCTTAGAGAAAACTTGGTTTCCATGGCGTTGCACAAGCAGGCCACTACCACAGGGACCTGAGAATTTGTTACAGCTACATTTGGACCTAAACTAAGGTGTTCAGAGTAATTTTGCCCGTACATGTATTAGGGGGTTTGAATCAACTTTTAGTAAAAATGCCACCCCCTATGATGATTTCTACAATTTACGTATAATATCATCATAAGGGGTGGTATTTTTACCAAAACTTTATTTAAACCCCTAAAATGAAAATTACTCTGAACACCTTAGTTAGGGTCCATTTAAGCTGTAACAATTTCTCATGTCCCTGTGGACAGTACAGTGTAATTCCGACTCTGTAATGAAAGTCAAAAAGCATACCGTTTCATTAGCAAATCACTACATTTTATAGTCAATGGTTATTTAGATTTGGACATCATTTGCTGGAAAACATACAGGTGAAAGAATACTGTCTCTATACATTTAAACTTAACGTTAGTAATCGTGTGCTCTGACATTCCATAACACCGTTAGTGTCATCCACTTGCATTGGGAGCTCAGGGAGCTAGAAGGGATCACAGGCAGTAGAGAATTTCATACAGAGATTGACCTAAACTAAGGTGTTTAGTGTTTGGAGTGTATGATACAGAATCGTAGAGGAGCGAAATAACTAGTCTTATTTTAAGTTTTAGGGGTTTAAATCAATTTTCGGTATGACTGCCACCCAAATCATCAGTGGACACCTTAGTTTAGTCCCAAATATAGCTGTAACGGATTCTGAAGTCCCTGTGGAAGGGTGTCTGGCAAAGGCAGTCAGAACGCCAATAAATTTCATGGTTTTTTTTATATAACCTGTACTCCTCCAGAACTATGTTTTTCTATTTTGAGAGAGAGAGAGAGAGAAAGTTTGCAAAGATGTGATGCAATATTATTACATGTTGTAAATGTCAAAATCGCTGGTAGTTATGATAACTTACACATGTTACATGTACATCTGTAACAATACTTTTGACTGGTGTATGTGTGATAAGTGTATGTAAATGATATGATAATGATATGCTAACTATATGCTAATTATATGTTAATTATATAAAAAATATATGTTGACCATACATTTGAAAATATGCACATACTTGCCTACGTAGAACATAATTATTTAAAAGTGCATTTATGGTAAATCATGTTTTTCTGATAATCGTGTACAAGTTTATGATTGAAGTTGATCAATGCAAAATTTCTGAAATCAAAAGTTAGGGTGAAAAATTATGAGCCTGCAGCCTCCAAATTAACACTTTTTAACTAACTATGTGATAAGTGTTTGTTTAGTTCAATTATGGACTTAGGTTCAATCCGATTCTGTGGCTTAATACTGATATTTGCAGTTATACCAGAGACGTATATATTACCCACACATTCAGACATGGCTAATTTAAAGAGGTTTTTTTTGTAAGTGTTATGCCTTTAATCGGTTACTTTCCATTGGAAAGAAAACAAATAAAAGATCTTTGCAATAAATCTTGGTAACAGTGAAGATTAACATCATTGTGAGTACTTGACCCATTTTATACAATAAATATTTTCATTTAACTGGAATTTTCGTATGTCAAATAATGTCTGTGTTCCAGTATGATAGTGCTATAGACGTGCTATTATTTAAGTACAGAGTGTGAAGTCCACCCGTTCATAGTCCAATATCAATACTACCCAGGGAACTACAGGTATTTCCACGGACGTGCAAGTGAAATAGTAAAATGTAAATGATCTTATAATAAGAAGTCACCTCTTGACTTGAAACAGAACTCGGAAGAAATTGAAAGTTTGAAATGTTCAAGTTGTGGTACTGGGCCATATCAGTATCTCCATTTTTAATAAAGATCGAAAGAAGATCAAAATTGTCCTGTGGTAATATATGTACTTCAGTATATTATGTCCTTGATCACAGCCAATTTCATTCAATAATGTTATACTTTCTACATGATTAATTTCAAGATTAATGTTATTAATTTATACCTTAGAAATGTCCTATTCATTTAAAAATGTACAATTATTTGTCGGACACCGATTCCTTTATTGAAACAAGCGTGCATATAATTCAGAGACTGCCTTGATTCATTATGAAAAGATATATTTTTACTTAATTAAAGATAACGCATTATGAAAAAAATATAGCCATTAATACCTTAATTAGAGATATTGTTCTTTGATTATTTGTCTCAATGTTGATTATTTTTAAAGGTGCACAATATTTATCTTCCAGATTTGTTCAAATGTATGAAACTGTTCTCATGCTCAAGCATGGATTTCGTGCTCATGCCTTTTTTCTTGTTTCAGTTATTAACTAATAAAGAAACATTTAGAAAACTAACTAAAGAGACTTTAAGCCGGATACTGTATTTGACTTTTTGATTGTTTTACATGATTTAAGTGAATTACAAGGAATCTGGTTTGAGCATAGAATTCATGCTTAAGCATGATAACGGTTTCATGAATAAGGGCCCTGATTTGTCCATTACCGGTTTGCTAAGATCCAATGACGCCAAGGACCATAAACCGAGGTTGACTCCAATCGCTTCCAACATACCACACACCAGGTACATTGTAATGCCTGGTGTCTTGGAAATCTCAAGACTGCCACTTCTTTCTCTGTCATTACTCTCCTCTTTGCGGAAAGACCAGCCTCTATCGATTGAGTTGGAAACCTGCGACATCTTGGTTTGTATGCATGAAGCCGTTCTCGTGCTTAAGCCTGCAATATATGTGCTTAAGCTCACTCAATTATGCACATGTAACACGGTCAAAACTTCAAATGAAAATTTTGAAAACGGTGTTCGACTTCAAGTGTCTCCAACTGTCCTCCAAATCATTGAAAAAATGTGAGTTTTTATGAACAAGTCACCGGAAATTGTAATTGAGCAGAGATTTTTTGTTTGAGTATGAGAACGATTTCAAGAATACGTGTCCAGCTCCCCTTCTACATGTACACGTAAATCGAGCGCCCATAAGAACTGACTGCAAAATGTACATACTGGAGTGTATTGCATAAGTACGTTTCTTCACATTGCTGTTCCCATGGGAAGGTCAGCTCGATTATTAATCATTTTCTGTGAAGGAACAATAAGACAACAATTTTCTTCCTTGGTTGGATTGTCAGTGCCATATAACTGGGTTCTACACTTTGTATCCACTGTTCCGCCCTGCAGATCAGTCCACCACAACGGATATTGCGAAATATGACTGCCCCGAATATTCCAAGCTTAATGTCGACTCTCAAATATGTCTCCATCTTATATACTATAATTGTTAAATAATTATATATTTTTTTATAGCTCGTTAAATTTCCGGTAGTGCTGTTTTGAAACTGGCCTGTTTTGATAAGAAAGCCACCTCCTTTCCGCTTCGTCTTTGCATTCTGAGATGAAGTACATGTCTGTCCGCTCCCAAGATCCCTAGCTCGGAGCTGAACCAGACCACTTTTATCTCAGCCTTTCTGTAACGGTTGTTCAACAGTTTCGGTTCCTTTCTCTGCCATTTGAATACCTCTTGTCTTCTGTTATATTGTTTCTCCAGCCTGTTTCCTCTCTGAACCAAATACATTGCTGTCTTCTGCATAGATTTGCTACATGCAGCAGAGACGTGATCTTTGTTGTATATCATGCATTGTACATGTACCTAACCGAAGTCCGGTTTCCATGTACCTTTGTCAATCATCTGATATTAT